TTTAAAAAAAAAATTATTAAAAAAAATTAAAAAAAATTAATTAATAATAATTAAAAAAAAAGAGATGATGATGTATATATATATATATAAAGATATATATAACTGTATATAAACAATGAAGAACAACAGTTTTAAGAAAAAGAAAAAGAGAATAATAATAATAATAATAAAAAAAATTAAAAAAAAAAAAAAAAAAAAAATAAATACTAAAAATTCACCTATTTTTTCCCTTTTTATTAAAATTCTTCATCGGATGAAACATAAGCATCACCTAATTCCTTCTTCTTCTTCATTCTTTCCTTCTTCTTCTTTCTCAATTCTGCGGATGACAACTTTGTCTTCTTCTTAGCGGCGGCAATCTTGTTACCCATAGCATCGAATTTATCTCCTTCATCTTCATTCTTGGTCAATCTTGGACCTGCACCTTGACCACTAACCCAGTTGTGACCTGAAGGAACCATAACACCGTTGTTGACGGTCCAGACTTCTTCGGTCAAGTTCTTGGTGAATTCAGCAGAATGGGTAATGATAACAACACCACCTTCAAAAGCCTTGATGGCCTTAGATAAGGCACCCAATGAATCTCTATCCAAATAATTGGTTGGTTCATCCAAGACAATTAAATGAGGTCTTTGCCATGTACAAGCAGCCAAGACTAATTTAACTTTTTGACCACCAGATAAACCTCTAATACGTGAGTGAGAAACTAATTCAGTTTCTAAACCCATCATAGCACAATGTTGTTCAATTTCCTTTCTTGTTAAAGGACGGAATTGACCAGATGCCAAGGCTTCCTTCATATCAATTTCAGCAACCATCTTTGAATGAGTTTCAATTAATTCACCTCTTGGTAACCAAGTATTATCAACAGACATCATTGGAACCCATCTTTCACTCTTCATACCAAGATTTTCACCTAATAACCAAGAACATTCATATTCATAAGTATTTTTAAACTTTCTTCTAGCATGAACACCAGCAACTCTTCTTGGAGTACCTTCAATTTTGAAAATTTTCTTCATACCTTCTTCATCATTTTCATTAATTTGTCTAGAAGCACGATCCATAGTTTCTCTATCTTCACCAGTTTGGAATCTCCATTGAATATATTCAGAAGGAGTTTTATCTAAATGAGAATCAATATGAGCAAAAGCATGTTGTTTAATATAAGCGATACGACAATTTTCATGAACATAAACTTCACCTTCAGTTGGTAATAATTCACCAGTTAAAACATTGATTAAAGTTGATTTACCAGCACCATTTGGACCAATAACAGCAATTCTTGAAGATAAAGAACATTGGAAATTAATGTTTTGAATTTGTGGTTTTGAAGTTCCTGGATATTGGAAAGACATATTACTAACTTTAACAATAGCTTTTTGTTTTGTCTTAACACCTTCCAAGAAACCTGGTTCTGGGAATTTAAATTCTAATTCAGAAGCACCTAATTCATAATAAGATTTAGCAGCTGGAACACGTCTAACAAATTCAGATAAATTACCTTTATATTTTCTTAATTTAAAACCTTCATAATGAATAATATATTGACAAACATTATCCAAGAAACCTGAATCATGAGAAACAATAATTGAAGAAATACCACAAGTATTTAAATAATTGACTAACCATGCAACATTAACAGTATCTAAATGATTAGTTGGTTCATCTAATAATAAGATATCAGCATTTTTTAAAACTGCTCTAGCCAAGGCTAATTTCATTTTCCAACCACCTGATAATGATTGAATTGACATATTAATCATATCTTCTGAAAATCCAAATTCTCTTAATTTTTCAGAAATTGTTTCTCTTGAACCAAGAGCACCAGCAGTTTCACCTTCACCATAAACGAAATCAAGAACTGAAGTTTCAGCATGAGTACCATCGATATCATGTTCAACGTAAACAGTTCTACATTCATCTTGAGTTGGGAAACCATCAACTTGACCATTAGCAATTGCTCTCATCAAGGTAGATTTACCAGCACCATTTGGACCACATAAACCATATCTTCTACCTCTTTTTAAACGTAATTGAGTTTTATTTAATAAGATTTTAGCACCATAAGCTAAAGAAAATTCACAATTACATAAATCTTCACCTTCATCATCTTCATCTTCAAAAGATGGAGGTTGTGGGATATTATCAACAGATCTTTTTCTAAATTCTTCAAGTAAATCTTTTGAAGTTTTTTCATGTAAGAAAATAGTCAAGAATGGGAGAACATTTGAAGACCAATTTTCTGGATCAATAATTCTTTCATCAATTAAATCACCAGCAATTGCAGCAATATAATTTTTAACAACATCGAATCTTGGAGCAACTTTTTCATCTTTTAATAATTCATTCAAGATTTCTAAATTGACTTGAACATCACCAGCAGTTGAAACTTCTGGAATAACATCATCTTCTTTAACATCACCAACTCTTTTCAAAGTATTTAAAGCTCTTAAAGTAACTTCACGAGCTTCTGGATCAGCAATGTTTGTATAATTTGTTTTCAAAGAAGGTAATAATTTACCCATGAATGGAGCAACAACTTGTGGATCATCAACCAATTTACACATATTATCAACAATAACAGCAGCTTTACGTTTAATAGAAGTTTCACGTTCAGCTAAACCTCTTGATAATAATGGAACCATGATGGATAAAGTAGAAATTGTAACTTCAGCAACAAAAGTTGTTGCACCCAATGTATGAACAGTTTCTGGAACTTCAGTTGGTTTAGCAATAGATTCAATTAATTTTGGTAAGAAAGGTTTAACATCTTTATTTTCAACAGTTTCTGTACATTTAGTCATAGTATCTGTAGCAGCTTTCTTAACTTCAACTTTAGTATCCCACATTGCTTCAGATAAAACTGGAATTAATTCAGGCATACGTAATGCAATTTGATCTTTTGCAGAATCAACCAATTGTGAAATAGTTGCTAAAATAGCAGTTTTTTCAGTCCATTTATTTGTTGTTTCTAAATTAGATAACAATTTTGGTAAAATGGCTTTAACCGCTGTTGGTGTAATAGCAGAAGCAATGGTCAATAAAGTTTTTGAAGCAGCAAGTCTAACATCATTATTTTTATCACCCGCTCTGGTGGCAATATCAGATACTAATTCAACAATATATGGTTCAACAGATGGTGATAAACCAGAAGCAGAAGAAATATGACAAGTTGCTTCCAAAGCATTAATAACCCCATTGACATTCTTCTTATCATTAATCGATTTTCTCAACTCTTCAAAAAATTCATAAGGAACATCATGCTCTATAATACTACCATTTAAAAATGATGCAACATTAGTGGCAGCGCTATCACGTTCTTCTGGAGAAGCAACAGAAAGTTTACCAAATAATTCCGAAAGAACTTCAGCAGATTGTTTTGAATCGCTAGAAGCCATTTTCTTTGAAAATTTTTTTTTTACTTATATATTAATTGGATATTTAAAACAAAGAAAAAAAAAAAAAAAAAAAAATTACTCTTCTATATATTT